CTCCTCTGCTCTTTCTACCCACCGAGCGAGGTCTCGCCACGCTGGGGCACACGGGGCACCGGCACAGGCACCCCCTCGAGCCTGCGCTCATCTGAACACTCTTCAGGGGGGGAAAAAAAACGTGTTTCAAGTTCTGTCGGTTCTCAAGCATTACCAATTCCCATCTCTCACGCAAAACAGACACCCACTAAATCCCGCTTAGGTATTTTTTCTAACTAATGCTGTCCTAAAAGATGCAACTAAAAAAACTCCTTCTCTGGAGATATTCCAGCCCCGCCTGGACGCGGTGCTGTGCAGCCTGCTCTGGGTGACCCTGCTTGGGCAGGGGGTTGGGCTGGGTGACCCACAGAGGTCCCTTCCAACCCCTTTTTTCAGGAGGCCAGAGATACCTGTTCTTAAGCAAGAGCGACTTCCCGGACAACACGCCATGCACCCAGTTCACCGCCTATAAAAAGCCGCCCTTCGCGTTGGGGACGCGCCCCTCGCCGAGCACCGCGGGGCTCTGACTCACCCGCTTCACCCCTTCAGCACCGACAGCAGGGCTACAATCACGCCGCTGCTCTTCGCGGCGATCCCGGTTTTGAAAGCGAGACGGATTGCGGTGCTCGAGTCATCCGCCTCGGCCCGAAGTCCTGAAGGCGTCTGCTCCGGCATCATTCTGAAACTCCTGGACTTGAGCGGCGCCGGCCTCGCGCTTAGGGTGTGGGAAGAGGCACAGAGTTCGTACGTGGCGATGCCGCTAACTCGCCAACGGCCCCCCCAAGGCGAGGGGAAAGCTTTTCTTTTTTCCCAGAAAGCGCCCAAGCCGAGGTGATCTCAGATTCCACACGCCGAGCCCTTCAGGCTGGACAGATACGAGAAACAAATCCGAGACCAGAAGCACAACCGCGCGTTAGCGGGAAGTCTGAGTCACGGTGCCCACACCAAGGCTGCTTCCACACTCCGGAGCAAGTTCTCAGCTCCCAGCAGTTGCTTTTCCAGCTCCCAGCTCCCAGGGAAACAACGCTCAGGTCCATCAGCGAGGCGACCGGCTACCACTGCCCTTGCAGCCAGCTGCTTTGACGATGAAACCGATTTTTTTTAAACCGAGAAACATCCCTTTGGGAGGACTATCGTATCAGCAGGGTTGGGTTCCAGTTAGGGATGGCAGGCACGCTTTTTCCGAACCCTGTCCGCGAGGACCGCGGCCCCGTGACTGGGGGAGAAAGCCCTGCTGAAGCCCGAGTCACGGCGCGACTGGGGAAGGGCGCTCTCGGGAGCCACGCTAACTGCTGCTGCAACAAAGGTCCGATTTAAAACGATAAGCGCTGACATTCTGAAACATGACTGACTACTACAATGAGAGAGTTTACTCTGCTGGAGTCTCCCAAGTCGTTTAATTAAGTCGGAGTAAGTTCATTTACACAGCCAAAGCCTTAACTGACATTCAGGCAGACGGAGCCCAGCCTAAACACCCCGGGACCTGCAGGCTCTCCTCGGGCCGGCAGCAGCCGTAGGTCGCCCCGGGGCCCCCA